CACCCACTCTCAGGACTCACCACTCCCCAGGACTCATCACTCTCTCAGGAATCACCACTCTCTCATGACTCACCAACCTCCCAGGACTCACTACCTCTCAGGACTCACCACTTCTCAGGTCTACCACCTCCCCAGGACTCATCATTCTCCCCTGACTCACCACTCTCAGGACTCACCATTCTCACCTGACTCACCACCTCAGGACCCACCACTCTCTCAGGACTCATCACTCTCCCCTAACTCACCACCTCCCAGGACTCATCACCTCCAGGACTCACCATTCTCACCTGACTCACTATTCTCCCTGACCACCACTTCTTAGACTCACCCACCTCTCGGACTCACCACTCTCCTAACTCACCACTCCTTTAGGACTCACCACTCTCTCAGGACTCACCACTCCCCAAGACTCCATCACTCTCCCAGGACTCACCATTCTCACCTGACTCACCATTCTCCCCTGACTCAACACTCTCTAGGACTCACCACCTCTCAGGACTCATCACTCCCCCTGACTCACCACTCTCTCAGGACTCACCACCTCTCACAGGACTCACCACTCTCCCAGGACCATCACCCCAGGACTCACCATTTCACCTGACTCACTATTCTCCCATGACTCACCACTCTCTCAGGACCCACCACTCCTCAGGACTCATCATTCTCCCCTGACTCACCACTCTTAGTACTCACCACTCTCCAGGACTCACTCTCCCTAACTCACCACCTCACCTGACTCCACTATTCTCCCCTGACTCACCACTCTCAGGACTAACCACTCTCTCAGGACTCACCATTCTCCACTGACTCACCAATCTCTCAGGACTCACCACCTCCCATTACTCACCACCTCTCAGGGACCTCACCACTCTCTCACAACTCACCATCTCCTCTGACTCACCACCTCTCCAGGACTCACCACTCTCTCAGGACTCACCGCTCCCCCTGACTCACCACTCTCTCAGGACCTCACCACTCTCTCAGGACCTGCACCATTCCCCGACTCCACCACTCTCTCAGGACTCACCACTCTAGGACCTCACCACTCTCCCTGACTCACCACTCTCTCAGGACTCACCATTCTCCCTGACTCACCACCTCCCAGGACTCACCATTCTCCCTGACTCCACCACCACCTCCCCAGGACTCACCATCTCTCCCTGACTCCACCACCTCCCAGACCACCACCTTCCCTGACCACCACCTCCTCGACTCATCACCTCTCAGGACTCACCATCTCTCCCCAGACCTCACCATTCTCCCTGACTCACCACTCCCCAGGACTCACCACTCTCCCCTGACTCACCACTCTCTCAGGACCTCACCACTCCCCTGACTCACCACTCTCAGGACTCACCACTCTCCCCTGACTCACCCACTGTCCCTGACCTCACCACCACTCCAGGACTCACCACTCTCCCTGACTCACCGGTCTCCTGACTCACCACTCTCTCAGACTCACCACCTCCCCCTGACTCCACCACTCTCTCAAGACTCACCACCTCCCTGACCACCACTCTCAAGACTCACCACCTCCTGACTCACCACTCTCAAGACTCACCACTCTCCCCTGACTCACCACTCTCTCAGACTCACCACTCTCCTGACTCCACCCACCTCTCAAGCACCACTCTCTCCTGACTCACCACTCTCTCAGGACTCACCACTCTCCCCTGACTCACCACCTCTCCAGGACTCACCACTTCCCTGACTCACCACTCTCAGGACTCACCACTCTCCCCTGACTCACCCTCTCAAGACTCACCACTCTCCCTGACTCACCCACCTCTCTCAAGACTCACCACTCTCCTGACTCACCACCCTCAAGACTCACCACTCTCCCCTGACTCACCACTCTCAGGACTCACCACTCTCTCTCAGGACTCCACCACTCTGACTCCCCACTCTCAGGACTCACCTTCTCCTGACTCACCACTCCTCAGGACTCCCCACCTCCCCTGACTCCACCCTCTCCCACTCACCCCTCTCAGGACTCCCATTCCCCTGACTCCACCACTCTCCCTGACTCACCACTCTCTCAAGACTCACCACTCTCAGACTCACCACTCTCCTCTGACTCCACCACTCTCCAGGACTCACCATTCTCCCTGACTCTCAGGCCTCCACCATTCTCCCCTGACTCACCACCTCCTCAGGATCACCACCTCCTGACTCACCACTCTCAAGACTCAACCTCCCCTGACTCACCTCTCTCCAGGACTCACCACCTCCCCTGACTCACCACTCTCTCAGGACTCACCACTCTCCCCTGACCACCACTCTCTCAGGACTCCACCACCTCCCCCTGACCACACTCTCTCAAGACTCACCACTCTCCCCTGACTCACCACTCTCTCAAGACTCACCACTCTCCCTGACTCACCACTCTCAAGACCACCACTCTCCCCTGACTCACCACTCTCTCAAGCGACTCACCACTCTCCCCTGACTCCACCACTCTCAGGACTCACCATTCTCCCCTGACTCCACCACCTCTAGGACTCACCATTCTCCCTGACTCACCACTCCCCCTGACTCACCACTCTCAGGACTCACCACTCTCCCCTGACTCACCCACTCCCCTGACTCACCACTCTCTCTCCAGGACTCCACCACTCTCCCCTGACTCACCACTCTCAAGACTCACCACTCTCCCCTGACTCACCACTCTCTCAGGACTCACCATTCTCCCTGACTCACCACTCTCTCAGGACTCACCATCTCCCCTGACTCACCACTCTCTCAGGACTCACCATTCTCCCCTGACTCACCACCTCCTGACTCACCACTCTCCCCTGACTCACCACCTCAGGACTCACCCACTCTCCCCTGACTCACCACCTCTCCTACCCTCCCCCTGACTCACCACTCCTCTCAAGACTCACAACTCTCCCTGACTCACCACTCTCTCAAGACTCACCATTCTCCCCTGACTCCACCCTCTCTCTCAAGACTCACCACCTCCCTGACTCACCACTCTCGAAGACTCACCATTCTCCCCTGACTCACCACCTCTCAGGACTCACCACCTCCCAGGACTCACCACTCTCCCCGACTCCCATTCTCCCCTGACTCACCACTCTCTCAAGACTCACCACCTCCCAGGACTCCACCACCTCCCCTGACTCACCACTCTCTCCAGGACTCACCACTCTCCCTGACTCACCACCTCTTAGGACTCACCATTCTCCCCTGACTCACCACCTCTCAGGACTCACCACTCTCTCCAGGACTCACCACTCTCCCCTGACTCACCACTCTCTCCAGGACTCACCATTCTCCCTGACTCACCACTCCTCAGGACTCACCACCTCTCAGGACTCACCATCTTCACCTGACTCAATTCTCCCTCTAACTCACCACTTCTCTAGGACTCATCATTCTCCCCTGACTCACCACTCTCTCAGGACTCCCACTCTCTCAGGACTCACCATTCTCCCCTGACTCACCATTCTCCCAGGACTCACCCTCTCCCCTGACTCACCACTCTCCCAGGACTCCCATTCTCCCTGACTCACCATTCTCCAGGACTCACCATTCTCCCTGACTCACCATTCTCCCCTGACTCACCACTCTCTCAGGACTCCCATTTCTCCCCTGACTCACCATTCTCCCCTGACTCACCACTCTCTCAGGACTCACCACTCTCTCAGGACTCACCATTCTCCCCTGACTCACCATTCTCCCAGGACTCCACCTCCCCTGACTCACCACTCTCCCAGGACTCACCATTCTCCCCTGACTCACCATTCTCCCAGGACTCACCATTCTCCCCTGACTCACCATTCTCCCCCTGACTCACCACTCTCTCAGGACTCACCATTCTCCCTGACTCACCATTCTCCCCTGACTCACCACTCTCTCAGGACTCACCACTCTCTTAGGACTCACCATTCTCCCCTGACTCACCACTCATTTGTAACAATAGCTTTATTTTTACTTTTCTTAATTCTATTATTACTTACTTTTACTCTTTCTTTATTCTCCAATTCTCTTTTCTTATTCCTAATCTTTCTTTCTTTGTTCTTTATACTTGTGAGGGAGAGAGGACGATGAGGGGATGGTTGAGAGGGAAGAGGGAAAGAGGAGGATGACTGGGGGAATAGGAATAACTTGCGATAACTGAGATACTGAGGGTAGGTAGAGAGGGGAGGATGAGGGGATACTGAGAGGGAAGAGGGAAAGAGGAGGATGACTGGGGGAATAGGAATAACTTGCGATAACTGAGATACTAGAGGTGGGTGGTGAGGATGGGGGATGAGATTGAGGAGAAGGAGGATGACTGGGGGAATAGGAATAACTTGCGATAACTGAGATACTGAGGGTAGGTAGAGAGGGGAGGATGAGGGGATACTGAGAGGGAAGAGGGAAAGAGGAGGATGACTGGGGGAATAGGAATAACTTGCGATAACTGAGATACTAGAGGAAACTGGGGATGGTTATGTTATTACTAACGAGTCACTGTATCACTTCATAACACCAAGGTATACATGGTGAATGTTTTACAGTATATATGCAAAATTAGAGTTATGGCGCTTCTTAATGGTTCTTTGTTTATTGAACACTTATTATTAGGATTTGACAATTACACTTCAAAACAATAGTCCCCTTGTCCTAGCTATTTAAACGGGGACCACGTATCTCACAACAAATGGGAACTTAAGAATTTACCAAATACAACACACTCAAATACCTGCCATGTCGCCACCACAGCCTCCCACACCTCTCTTCACAAAATTCCAACACAGACTCTGTCTTTGAAAACAAAGATGGCCTACAGTGGCGTGGCGTCTCATAGGCTTTCCTTATTGGTTCTAGCCTAAGACATTTACCCTCACAAGTCACTGCGATTGGCTCATACTTGGCGGGAAATACTCACTGACTCATGACATTGTTACACTCCCGGGACTCACCACTCTCCCTCACACTCTCCCAGGACTCACCACTCTCCCAGGACTCACCACTCTCCCAGGACTCACCACTCTCCCTCTCCCCTACAGGACGCCGGTAGGTCTGGAGGACGTCAGTAAGTATCCTCTCCTACTTGCCGAGGTGCTCAAGGACCCTCGCTGGTCTGAGGACGATGTGGCCAAGCTCGCTGGTCGCAACTTCCTACGGGTGCTGCAGCGAGCCGAGCAGGTGAGTCACCCCCTGAGTCACGACCGAGCAGGTGAGTCACGCTCTGAGTCACGGCCTAGCAGGTGAGTCACCCCCTAAAGTTATTGCCGAGCAGGTGAGTCACCCCCTAAAGTTATTGCCGAGCAGGTGAGTCACCCCCTAAAGTTATAGCCGAGCAGGTGAGTCACCCCGAGTCACGGCCAAGTAGGTGAGTCATCCCCTGAGTCACGACCGAGCAGGTAATATCCACCTCCTGAGCCACGGCCGAGCAGGTAATATCCACCTCCTGAGTCACGGCGACGCTGTTATGTTGTGAGAGCCAAAAAGGACCTTTAAGCTTTCGCCCAAATTTTCAGCTCCGTTCCTGATAGCCGCCAACAAGCAGGGCACCATATTCAAAATAAGAAACCCATATATTGTTTCTGTGAACATTAAGTAATCTGAAACAACTACAAACAGAGAACTCAAGTAACTCAAAATGAAACTACAAAGCAGTTACAAGAGTTCCTGAACTAGTGGTTTACCAATTATCCATATTCAGTTCATAAGGTGTCAGCTGCTGGGATACCTACATAAACTCAAACAGTGCTATAGTGCTTGTGACTACTAAGACACTCAGCAGTACTTCAAGTATCGACGTATAAGTATAATAACTGACAGACACCCCAGCTAGGACATGAAGGTGACTACCAGATGGGATTACTTGACATTCCACAACTACTGTAGTTACAAAGATGTTACCAGGTGGAATCCCAAATATCCATACCTGGAACAAGTATTGTCTGGTCTTCTAAACTCTTCAGTGCGGATGGTTAACACATTTCGGAGGATATGGTCATCTTTTTTTTTTTTTTTTTTGATGACCAACAATTTTATGGCACTATATTTCTGACTAAATGACCGGATGACTGATATATTGACTCTCACTCACTCACTCACTGACGAAACCCTACAAATTACCTTTAATATCCTTCATGGTCTAAACTGAGCTAAATTCAACTAAACTTATCTTAATCTACATATGCAACAAACTCACTTTTTCGCTGGGGGAGAAAATTTAAAAGTCACACATTTACCGAGAATAATTTATCTAGTTGGAGCAGTAGTGTGACTCATACCTCTTCATGTTTCGGTTGTGTTGTTACCCTTCTGTACTGTGTGTCAGAGGCTTCAAGACTGACACATTATAAAACTGACACAAATAAACTGACAAGGAAGCATTTTTTATCTTTTAATGATTCAAAAAGCCAAAAGAAATTCAACTTTTCTTAATGTAAACACTACAAACCATAATGACTATGCCAACACAATAAGCTCCTGGAGTATATAAGGTTTATTTTAGATAAGAGTGAACATTTCAGCACCGCCCGCATTATCAACCATGATGGTGACCGGGATTTATGTATATTTGCTATTCTAGTGTAACTTTTAAAAGATATCTAACCTATAGTGTGTGCGTGTATTAAGATAAACAAATACATTAAGTTATATATGAAAGTAATGAGGCGCCAAACAGTGACTTGTGTTAATAAAGCATCAATGTGTAAACAAGAATACAGTTGCCGTCCAAGGTTATTCAGTGGCCAGATTTACACCCTCTCCCCCACCCTGGCTTATCTACAACAACTATCAAGAGGATTTTCTCTCTTACAGATGACATTAATGAGCCAAGTGGCATTTACCTTTTGTGTGGTGTGTGACGACAGTGATGAAGGGATCTCTTTAAAGATTGACCTGTAATTCGTGGATAACCTAAAGACATGTACAGATAGTTCAATTTAGTTAAAGAAGGTCATGTTAATATTTTGTTTACGGTCAGTGGGTGAGTGAGTAACCAAGCATGAATAGAACTGAGACACAACAGAACAAATAATCCTATAAGAAAAAAAATATAATGTGATACCTTACACATAATTATTGATTAGTTTTTAATACATATAAATCATGAGAACTCCAGTCATTAACTACAGAGTATACATTGAAGGGAAAACAGAAGTAATAAAGGCCACTCTGATAACCCGCCAGCCTCACTGTAATTCACTGCATGAATATTTCCAGTGAACAAACATGCACAACGAGCTCTGTGAACTTCCTCCCACAATAACACATAAAGAGTCCTGGAAACTGTGTGTAACTAAGTTGCTTAGTTACACAACCCATTGAAATTATATACAAAGTCATCGAACAAGAATGCCCAGATTTGAAATGGTTATATATTAAACCTCGGGCATTCTTTTTCGGTGACCTGGCATATATAAACACCAAACAATAATCACATAAAGTGTAAATCAGGTGTAAATATATATATATATATATATATATATATATATATATATATATATATATATATATATATATATATATATATATATATATATATATATATATTACACACGCAGTCCAGTGATCTGTCATGTAAAGTTACCGTTCTGTGTAACCAGTCGTCATGCAAACTTACCAAGTATTCATGCAAGAAAATTTAGTATTGTTTTAAGCAGGCGCGGGGTGTCAGGTTCCACTGAATAGTTCATAACATGTTTCTGGTGATCAATTGATTTATTTGTTTTGTTTTACACTTCACTATTTCGACCATGATATTCGGAATTTAGCAGTGCACAATAGTGAATGAATTTGTGTGTGTTGATCGTTCTTACTCGGTGTGAGAAGATTGTCTCAAGAAAGAACTGATTCAGAACTATTAGACTCTGAGTCTTATTTACTTTATCACTCAGTGTTACCCTCTGTGCGACAACGTTTCTCTCTTTCTATGTTTTTCTCGAATCTAGCGTAAGTACATACAACGTAGTGTCCATTCATAAATATACACGTTAACATGCACATGCACTCAAAAACAAACACGAGCGCACATACGCCCACAAAGAGGCATTCACATAAAAAATGAAGACATGCATACATCCAGGCATAGTGTCCACACAGATGTACAGAAACGTTGAGAAAAAAACAAAAACTTACCAACACAAATGATATATTTACTCACAGACAGACTCGCGTAAAAAAATAACATACCCACAAACAAACAATTACTGACGCGCGCGTACACACACACACACACACACACACACACACATACATGTACGTACGTCCTGCCACAGGCCGTGACATGTTTTTTACAACGCAACCTGAGAAATAGTGGAGAGAGAGGCGGCCACCATTGTTTTGTGAGGGGCGTCCTTTTGAGGTGACACCCGCGGCTGGCAGGTGGCGGGGGAAGACAGTGAACCCGTAACTCACACCTATCAGGGGGACTCGCTGACCAAAGGACACACGTCTTGCAAAATTTTGGTTGAGGTTCTAAAATCTCCCTTGATTTTTTTTCTTCCCCTGAGAGTAAGTACAAATGTGTATAAAATTTAAGGTTATTTTTGGCAGTAACAGGATAACACGTATTGGTCTTGTACGGGAAGAGATATTTGTGTGTGTGTGTGTATATATATATATATATATATATATATATATATATATATATATATATATATATATATATATATATATATATATATATATATATATATATATATATATATATCACATTCTTATTCTAACGAGGTTTAATACTGAAATTATCGTTCTCTAGCCATGAACCAATCACAAATATGACGTACAAGTATAAGACAGATATTGCCACGTGTCCAGGGACTTGTAACAGGACTTCAATAACATATATATTAAACATAGATATATTCATTAAAAACAACAGGAACTCGACAGATCATTTTATTTATTAATGTTTCCTAAGTAGAAGATGGAAAATCTACTACAAAATCAATGACAAAAAGTTTTGAAAAGTGTAGTACAGGTAAGAGACGTCAGTAGCTCCCAGTATTACTCATTATGTAGTAGAGGTAAGAGACGTCAGTAGCTCCCAGTATAACTCATTATGTAGTACAGGTAAGAGACGTCAGTAGCTCCCAGTATTACTCATTATGTAGTACAGGTAAGAGACGTCGTGAGTTCCCAATTATAATAATTATGTGGTATAATTGAAAAAGGACGTGATGGCTTCAATATAACTCATTATGTAGTACAGGTAAGGGAACGTCAGTGATTCCCAGTATAACTAATTATGTAGTACGGAGTAAGAGACATTCAGTGGCTTCAATATAACTCATTATGTAGTACAGGTAAGAGACGTCAGAAAACCAGTATAACTCCATTTATGTAGTACAATTGAGACGTCAGAAGCTCCCAGTATAACTCATTATGCATTTTTTGGAGTAAGAGACATTAAAGTAGCCAATATAACTCATTATGTAGTACAGTGAAGTCATTGGTTCTGAGTATAATAATTATGTAGTACAGGTAGAGACGTCAGTGGCTCCCAGTATAACTATTATGTGGTACCAGGTGAGACGTCAGTAACTCCCAGTGTAACTCATTATATAGTACAGGTAGAGAGACGTCAGTAGCTCCAGTGTAACTCATTATGTAGAACAGGTAAGAGACGTCAGTAGCTCAATTATAACTGAATTATCGCATTTAGACAGAGACATTGATAGTTCCCAGAGTATAACTAATTATATGTAAATAAAGGTAAAGAGACGTCAGTAGCTCAGTATAACTCTTAATGTAGTACGGTGAGACATCCGGTGGCTCCGAGGTATAACTAATTGTAAGAGTACAGGTAAGGGGCGTCAGTGGCTCAGTATAATAATTATGTAGTACAGAATTAAGGACGTCAGTATCTTCGAGTATAATGTAATGTAGTACAGGTAAGAGACGTCAGTAGCTCCCAGTACCGCTTCTAATTATGGTGCAGGTAAAGAAGCGTCGTGGCTCCAGTATAACTAATTATGTATGAGTACGAATTGAGACGTCAGTAGCTCCCAGTATAACTCATTATGAGCTGAGTAAGAGACGTCAGTATCTTCCAGTATAACTCATATTACTTCTTAGTGCAGAGACGTCAGTGGCTCCAGTATAACTCATTATGTAGTAGTACAGTGAGACGTCAGTATCTTCGTTATATCATAATGTAGTACTTAATGTAGTACAGGTAGAGACGTCAGTAACCATTATAACTAATTATGTGATTAAAGTAAGAGACGTCAGTATCTCCCAATATAACTCATTATGTAGTACAGGGTGAGACGTCAGTAGCTCCCAGTACAACTAATTATTGTAGTGCAGGTAGAGACGTCAGTAGCTCCCAGTATAACTAATTATGTAATTGCAGGTAAGACGTCAGTAGCTTCCAGTATAACTTATTATGTAGAACAGGTAAGAGACGTCAGTAGCTCCCAGTACAACTAATTATGTAGTGCAGGTAAGAGACGTCAGTAGCTCCCAGTATAACTAATTATGTAGTGGGTAAGACGTCAGTAGTTCCCAGTATAACTCATTATGTAGTAGGGTAAGAGACGTCAGTATCTTCCCAGTATAACTCATTATGTAGTACAGGTAAGAGACGTCAGTAGCTCCAGTATAACTAATTATGTAGTACAGGTAAGGGCGTCAGTAGCTCCCAGTATAACATTATGTAGTACAGGTAAGACGTCAGTAGTTCCCCGTATAACTCATTATGTAGTACAGGTGACGTCAGTAGCTTCCAGTATAACTCATTATGTAGTAAGGTAAGAGACGTCAGTACTCCAGTACAACTCATTATATGTTAGGTAGAGACGTCAGTAGCTCCCAGTATAACTCATTATGTAGTACAGGTAGAGACGTCAGTAGTTTCAGTATAATTAATTATGTAGTACAGGTAAGAGACGTCAGTATCTTCCAGTATAACTCATTATGTAGAACAGGTAAGAGACGTCAGTAGCTCCAGTACAACTAATTATATGTAGTGCAGGTAAGTCTATAACCCCACAGTGTAGAACAGTAAGAGACGTCATAGCTACCACAGTATAACTAATTATGTAATAAAGGTAAGTAGACGTCAGTATCTTCCAGTATGTAACTCATTATGTAGAACAGTAAGAGACGTCAGTAGCTCCCAGTACAACCAATTATGTAGTGCAGGTAAGAGACGCCGCATCTTCCAGTATAACTCATTATGTAGAACAGGTAAGAGACGCTGTGCAGCTCCTAGTACAACTAATTATGTAGTGCAGGTGGCGAGAGACGTCAGTATCTTCCAGTATAACTCATTATGTAGAACAGGTAAGAGACGCTGTAGCTACTGCAATCTGCCAATTATAGGGCCAAAGGTAAGAGACGCTGGGGCCTTCCAGTATAACCTATTATGTGTGGAACAGGTAAGAGACGTCAGTAGTTCCCAGTATAACTCATTATGTAGTACAGGTAAGAGACGTCAGTAGCTCCCAGTATAACTAATTATGTAGTACAAGTAAGAGACGTCAGTAGCTCCCAGTATAACTCATTATGTTGTACAGGTAAGAGACGTCAGTAGCTCCCAGTATAACTAATTATGTAGTACAAGTAAGAGACGTCAGTAGCTCCCAGTGTCACTAATTATGTAGTACAGGTAAGAGACGTCAGTAGCTCCCAGTGTCACTAATTATGTAGTACAGGTAAGAGACGTCAGTAGCTCCCAGTATAACTAATTATGTAGTACAGGTAAGAGACGTCAGTAGCTCCCAGTATAACTCATTATGTAGAACAGGTAAGAGACGTCAGTAGCCCCCAACATAAATCACAGTAAGAAGGTTGCCGCAGGTCAAGCAGGTCACAACCACAACTGCGGAATGTCTCGCGCAAGTATATGAAAATAACTTCAGAAAAATTGTATACAAGTAACCGAAAAAACGACCAGGAAAATAAAGAAGGCGAGAATTCAATTCGTTTAGGAATTTTGTTTGCCTTTGACAGCGAAAATTATTGCAAATGAGGTTTTTGCCATGAAGCACGTAGAGCCTCGCACCCACGACAAACTTTACTATGAAATTCAGGCATGCGAGAGAAATTGGCGTTATTGTCACCATGTCATGTTACGTTTTATCGGATAGTTTACGAATTACAAATATGGAATTACTGATCATTGTTCGTTCTCTTGGTATGTCAATCACAGCGTGTCAGGATTTGTGAATATTGAGTTTATTAGGAAATGATCTTTTGGACGATGGACATTTCATTAATTCGACTCGACAATTTAATCTGAACAGTGGAAATATTTACCCTGTTGTATTCAGTGAGGATTAAATTCCACCTGTATAATTATTATTCATCACTCATGACACACCTCAATATGCCCCCCCCCTTCGTAGAGACACACACCCATTCACACCCACCATATAAGCTTACTTCCTCCCCAGACACCCTCCCACATTGCCACCCCCCCAATGCTCTACTCCATCACTACTAATCATCCCTGCCGTACAACTAAACTTACGCACTACTAACCACCCCAGCACTAATAACCACCCCTGCTGTACTACTAACCACCCTAGCACTATTAACCACCCCTGCACTATTAACCACCCTTGCTGTACTACTAACCATCCCAACTACTAACCACCCCAACTACTAACCACCCCAGTACTAATAACCACCCAACACTACTAACCACCTCAACACTACTAACCAACCCTGTATTACTAACCACCCCAACACTACTAACCACCCCAGCACTACTAACCATCCCAATACTACTAACCACTCCAGCACTACTAAACACCCCAGCACTACTAACCACCCTAATACTACTAACCACCCCCAGCACTACTAACCATCCCTGCACTACTAACTATGGACGTCTCCTTCACAGGTTCGAGATGAGCTTCGGTCAACCCAGCCGTATGAGGACCACATCCACCCGGACAACTTGGCTGGGCGTCGGTCCTGCTGGTTCACGTGACGCAGCCCTTTCTTTAGGTCTTCTCCCGCTGTCCTCCTCCTCTCCTTCCTCCTCTCCCTCCTGCTCTGCTGCCTTCACCTTCCAACCAGCAAGAAGACACAAGGGGAGTGAAGAAGACCAACAACAAGAGGGGGAGGTGGAGAAGAGAGAGAACGAGAGAGAAAGAGAGAGAGAGAGAGGAATAGTGTCATTCCAGTTACTTCAGGAGGTTCGTCTAGAACTCTAGATGAAACATACTGGAAACTCAGGAGGCAGAAAGAGAGAAAGTTCGAGGTATTGTTTGTGAATTTATTTCTCTTTCTGGACCTGAAAAAAAATAATATCGTGATTCTGAAATTATACTGAAACTGAATATTGTTTGTGATATGACTCTAGAAAAGGAAAACTTTTGTGTCAAGTGTCTTTCTGGAATACTATATCATGTTTGCAACTTCGTACTCAAACTGTAGATCATAATTATGTGTGTGTGTGTGTGTGTGTGTGTTGTATCATGCTGGCAATAAAGATCGGTTACTTCAGCCACTTTAGAATCGAACATCGTGTGTGTGTGTGTGTGTGTGTGTGTTTTACGCCACTACGGACCTGACAATCTTGTGTTGGGGAGTCAGCCCAAGACTAATGATTGCGTCTCAAGTCTGTCCGTCTCTGGATATCGTGCGGCTGACGTTATTCCGGTACTAAAGATCTTGTTTGTGGCGTCTTTCTCGAGCTGGAAATAGCATTGCACTTGTTTGGAATGGAAGTTAATGCGTTCCACGTCTTTCTGCAGGTTTATATGGATCCATTAATGTCATTCTGGAAGTGAGGAGTTCATAACCACTTATTGTTAGTTTATGATGGAACTAATTACCCCTTACAGTGTGGCTTAAGGAAGAGACCATTCTTGAACAACATTATAGTGTCCGGCATGATGCTGAAGCTCATTGTTGTTTATGTGATATTACTGTTGAGTCGAAAACTGTATTATCGATCTCGCTGTCAAGATAATTACTGTGACACAAGCTTGAAAATTCTCCACCGGTAGTGGGATAACTTATTTAAAAAGTGAAAGTTTGTTTTGAAAATTTGAAAATCCTTCAGCAATCATATGAGTGAAGTGAAAAAAATCTGAAATTTGGAGGAACTACTTTATTGTGACATTTGTGTACTGACTTCACGTGGACGTGCACCCATCTGGTGAAGACAATATGAATTGTAAATTAATTCGCCAACTTGTGACAATGTGTTTTGCAGTGTTTATATAAAAGACACCAAAAGGTGATTTGTACAAGTATAAACAAAATGCCATTTTGATCTATATCTCTGTAATATATGAGGGGGAGTGTATCATAGAGCTAAAAACAAAGTGTCATTTTGTGATGTTTCTATGTAGGTCACAAAATGTTTAAACTTGAAACAAAGTGTCTTTTGAACTTTTTTTCTAGAAATCTCACTGATAGAAATGTCTTTTGGAATATTTAACACAGCATCTCTTTTTTTTCGACTTCAGAGTTTAGGATCGCCATGTCCTTTTGTGAATAGAGCATTTTGGGACCGACCGTAGAATAAAGTAGTTTAACGTAGATGTCCATCCCGAGCTTACAAAATATGATTCTTCTTTACACTCTGGCCACGCACCAGTGTTTGTTGTTCTTGGCCTAATGTTTACAAGGTCACCACACTTGAAGATTGACTTATATATATATATATATATATATATATATATATATATATATATATATATATATATATATATATATATATATATATATATATATAAACTATACATATATATACTGTATATCTTAACGCCATTTTGAGACAAAAGTGTACATAAAAAAATCTAGTTTCTTGTAATTTTTTCAGGTAAAAATGCTCTTGTGAAGCAAATCTGTCCTTAAGTCTCTCTCTCTCTTATACGTGTTTGTGAATAATAGACTGTTGAAAGGTTTTACTGTTATTTTTACTGATATATGATCTAATAAAGAATAATCGCACAAATATGTAAGCAGATAGTTATAAATCTTGGTGATTTGTGAACATTTATATGGTGGTGACTGGTCAGGCAGGCCCCAGTCTTAACAGGCCTCTACCTAACCATTAAGACTGAAGGTTTTGGGACCCATTAGGGCTGGGGCCTATTAGAACTGGGGCCCATTTGACTTGTAGTCTATATGATGTATTACTGAATTTTTTGTGAGGGAGGAACTTTGTTTATGAAGGGAGTCTGAAGACGCTATTGATGCATTTAATGATGATATTTGTTAATTATTCGATCTGTTTTGCATCACTTTGATTTAAAGGAAAAATCGAAAATTCTTTGAGTGAACATACTGTATGCCTCTGTGGACTGAAAATTGACGAAATAAGGGAAATGAGGCCACGACAGGTCCTTTTTCTCGTTTCTCATAAACTATATACAGAATATTTAACTTGATACATCTGAGAATAATGTAGTTGTGAAATTGATATAATACTTGGTACCAGACGAATGACTCCAGCAAAGCTTCGCAAAAGGTAAAACAAAAAAAATGTGGCCTGTATTTTCCTTCAACCAATAATGGCGAGCAACTTTGGTCTGCGTCCTTTTACAACTGAGAAGATGAAAGGCCCCTTTTTAGGGTGGGGGAGGGAGGTGGGGGGGGGGTGCAGGCTGCGTTTCGGTGCAGCTCAGATGTTAAAGAAATCTTTTGCTACCTTCTCCACGGAACTCAAAGTGGTGAGAAGCCTTTTGAAGTTTCCCCTGAAGGATCCCGAGTCTGGCGTTCATGAATGGGGGCAAAGACTGAGGAATACTTTTTTTTTATACCTACCGGTGGCCAACATGCTGAGAGGGCCAAGTAGTGAACCTATAATTGATACAGTGAATACAACACGACAACAGCTGAAGATGCTGCTCCTTACACTGCTCTGTACTCCAAGAGCGAGGGAGTAAGTCTGACTGGCTGCAGGTACGAGCTATTAACTAATAAAAAGTAAAATTAAAATCAGTACCATAGGAGCATTATAGAAACACTCGACAAATGTTCCCATATATTAGTATAAGTACAGAGGACCAATATACCTATAAGGCTAAGCGTCTTTATTATTTCAGGCTTACACATTGACCGTAGCTTTGGTCTTATGGTCATCACTACCTGGTGGGGTGATGTACATTAGAAGGCCAAGGAGTACGTCTTACTGTATATCCGCCGGTACTGATAACTTGTCTCGTATTTTCCCACAAATTAAAGTTAAACTGGGAGTGACATAAAAAGGAAATTAAGTTACCGTAGAACAAGTGCTTAAGTTAGTAAAAGTAAATTGTTCAAAAAGGAAATTCACGATTATCTTTACAACTTTTTTTTTTCGTGTAGAGGCGGCCGACTGTGGCCGTGGTGCTTCCTGTGACGTGCCGGAGATGTGAATCATATCAGAAGATTTAACCTATGTATAAGGTTAAGACTAAGGGTACGAAGTCTAGTAATTAACAACCATAAATTACTGACAATTATGCATTGGTCAGTGGAACAACAGAAAGGAGGAATTTTCCGTTTTAACGTGACAAAAATAAAGTTCTTCACTAAATTATTAAGTTTCATGAGATCTACGACGACAAGTTCTCCATACAGTATTGAGCTGCGCTTCCCTCTTTTCCTTCCCTTCATGAACCTCGTAGCCTTTTGTGGATGTTCTTCTAACATCCGCGCGGAGAGAAGGCAACTATTTAACAAAATATTAAGGTAATGTTTTATTCACTAGACAAGTGGACCAAATTTGTCGCTACCGCTTGGGAGGCACAAACGTGCAAACGATGGTTGCCGTACGTGAGCCAGGGAGCGTGTTATTGTGCACGGAATCCACTACCCAATATATTAGAATCTCATTAATATAAAGGCTAAAAAATTTGCTCTGGATTTGTTCGAGGAATGATTTTTGAAGAGGTGGATCATCTCTCATTTGCCAAGTTCGTAGTTTGGCGTTCGTTTTGCGCTCAACAGAACGCCATCAACAGGGGGAGACGTTTTTCTATAGTTCGCTGCTTATTTTACGTTTTAAGGCAGTTGAGAAGCGTCAACTCGATGATGACAAAAAACTGTTATCAGATGATAGAGAGGGAGAGTTTGTTCCTGTAGCGACGATGGCAATGAAAGATGTGATGGTCCACTGAATAGCGTTTGCAGTGCCTATCAGGGGGAAATGGGTCACTGCTATAATGATGATAGACTAACTATTGTCATGGTGATGATGATGATGGCAGGTGATGGTGATGACAGCATATGCTGCTATAGGTGTAAGGATAAAGTGCGCTGATATATCGTCGGGATGGGAATGGATAAAAATTATGTCTTTTAAACCCTTGAGTGCCATGACTTTAACCCCCTGAGTGCCATGTCCTCTTACAGTACTGAAGGTAATAGGATAATATATTTAAAAGGTTGAGACGTCGTACTCAAGGGGGTAAGATACAAAGCGGGTGTGTTATGGTGGTATTCTGGTGCTAACGAAATGTCAGAGCTTAGACTGCTACTCTAATAACATCTTGTTTGGTAATCTTAATTTAACTAATAAGATTATGCCTCATTTTACAGGCCAATAGCAATGATGACCCACTTCTGTTGCAATCCCAAATGTGTTGCTGTAATTTGTTGCGAAATAACGAATTTAGTAAAAAAGAGAAGTTATTAGAGATAACGCGAGGCAGAAATACATTTAGACTTTCAGTATATTTATGAAAAACAAATAATATTTGGAAACGGAACTTCATGAGCGAATGAAGATACTACCTCGGTTGGGGGATGTTTCGCTTTCAAGATTCACTGACTCAGCAGACGGCGGTTTGTGTGTGTTCACAGGACCGGAGAGAGAGGATCAGGGGTGGGAAGGAGGTGTAAGAGATGCAGCCGGAGCACACTATATGAACCCAGAAAGCTCTCTTGCCTCGCTCTGTTATATCGTGTGTGCAAATGAGATAGCCACATAATTTAGCTCGACTGAACACAGGGGCAGGACTTATTGAACTGTTTTATATGAACTGATATTTGAAACGTTGTAGTTAATCAGGTTGCATTATGAAATGTCTATTATGTTTATACTGTAAAGATATTTATATGGTAAGTCTTAGTCCTTTATTACATCTCGAGGTTACTGGTACTCCAAGGTGACGTCACTAACACTAGTTCTGAAGGTGCTTTTTACCTCTTGATAAAGTTTGATAAGATATAAACTTTATCTTTTGGTGAAACAAGTCCTTCTTCATAACCAATAATAGCAATACAATTATTATATATATATATATATATATATATATATATATATATATATATATATATATATATATATATATATATATATATATATATATATATATATATATATATCCAAATTAAGCTTCACTAAATCATACATCAGTCACTAAACAGAGTGGTGAACTCTGGAATAAAGTGCTGTGTCATGATTCCCTGTGTTTCATGTTTGTCTTCCTCTTTCTTTCTCCTGGTCTTGGCTTGTTACCCAGTAAGGTAAGAACGGTAATGATTAAGAGGAGCTTTCTGACGATCGGGAGTGACTCTGTTATTATTGTTGTACTACTCAAAAACACAGAGGTTGTTTGATCCTCACTATATATATATATAAAGTATATATATATATATATATATATATATATATATATATATATATATATATATATATATATATATATATATATATATATATATATATATATATATATATATATATATATATATAATCATTTACCATCACCACTATATAACGTGGTGGTTTTGATTTATTTTTCCTTGATATAGTCTTCCATATCTTTACTATTTATTTACTTTTTTGTATGACTTTTGATATATTGAATCCTTCTTTAACACCTCACGTCATATGGTAATCATTTGTACGTTTCTTTTCTGATCTGTTTTATGATGTTTGTTTCTCTCTGTTATGTCGATATTTTTTTGTCCTTCATGTCACCTAAAGGTTATTTCAACTTAACTACCACACGTTACTGCAGCAGCCAACCTTGACCTCTCCCACGCACGCAGGGCAGGGTCGCGCCCTGTGCACCCTGAGGCTATCAATCAACAGAGACGTAGAGATAATACACTAATATAAAAAATATATAAAGCTTGGCGACAAACTAAACCTCTGCCGTGCGGACCTGTAGTGTCGATTTCTCTGTCCACACATTCACAACCCTGTAAAGTGTTCACGATTTAGAGACCATTGTTGACTTTGTAGAACTTTATGTGAGATAAGAGATCCACGCTGTGTTGTAAATTGTATACCAGACTCCGTAGTTTTCTTTCATAATCCTGTTTTATAGGATCTTATGTGGGGTTTAGAACGTTCCTTTGATGCTTCCTTACATAGTTTTCTACATGCCAGGCCTTTAGTACTGATGCAAAGATGTTTTCACATTCGGGTCTTTGTACCGAAGGCTTTAGACTTTTATTGCCAAATTAAATGGGTTTAAGCATATTGTGTATGTATCATTATCCTTACCTCATGACCCCACACCTGAGCGCCTGCCACACCGTACTCCTGACACGTGTGACCAAAGCCAAAGGTAGTATTATGAGTGGTTTTTCCGGGAATAATTATATATAAACATCTATGTATATATAATTCATTACAACAAATAATATACTGGTTCATGTTCAGTGGATTTGTTTTGTTATTCGTTCTGTGACAACAACACGCGCACACATTTCAAATAAACTTTTGAATGAACTGAAAACTAGTGTAGAAATTGTGTATTCTGAATAATA